CTGAAAGCAAAACGAAGTAAGTGACATGGGCATAAACACGCCACATTATCAGATATACAGGGTAGCAGAACCATTAGCTTAATATTGTTGTGCTCGAAACAAGATTGCATTGTACGTTTGTTGAGCATGGCCAAGAAGCGGCTCAATTCAAACTTTGTTGTGCACATCCACGCGTGGTTCTGACTCGAGAAATCATGCAGTACTAATACAAACGTACTTAAATAATGATGCAACTAGAAAATACATGGAACGCTCCCAATAAAACATTATTGGGGAACACAGTCCTCTGTACTTAAAAAAACCGGAGATATACGTCGAACATATCAACAAAACATGCAGTACTCGGTCAAACGTGGGGCACTCGTAGTATTCGTGCACATTTAAGGGCAATAGGGTCAATGTTTAGGTGATTTATGCAATCATATCTCAATTAAATTCATTTTTGAATCAGAGTTGCAAAAAATATTTGAAATGTGACTTCGTTTATTAAAGCAGGACGTCAGGGAACCTCACTGAACGTTAAAGGTGGAGAAAGGAGGTTTGCATCGTCAAAAAGTGGCGGGCGTCAAGCAGCCGAAATCCGGGCAAGCACGAGCTATAGTCTCGTGCTGCTACTGACGCTCGTGCTTGCTTGCTCACTCGCGTGATTCGTCATCATCTTTCCTTCATCACAAGGAACTTTATATCTCGAATGCTGCATCTTGCTTGGCCGGGTAGCAATGTGATTAAAAAAACACCAAAAAGAGCAATAATACATTGCACAAGACTAAGCAAGCAGGCGCTTAGATGTCTATTGTTATAAACTGTTGAGAGATTTCTCAGGTGGTCAATGTATTGTTGTATCTTAACGTAACAGGTGCAAGTTGCCTTAGGAAGCCAGTGAACAGGCTCCAACTTTTCCACACGTCTCAAACAAGCTCGCTAAGTCAGGCAGACTATCATAATGTTCACTATTCATGAGGACGAAACCGCTACGCACCACGCAGGCTCTCAAATTCTAAAACTGGTTCATACATCACTCTCCAGCCCCTGTCTGATGCTGCTCGTACGCAGCAACGTGATCTTGCCATGAGTAACACTATTGTGCACTGATCAATTATTGATCCTCTGCACTAGGAAGCGATGCCCAAGTCCTACGGGCGATGCTGTTTTGGCCGACGCATTTACCACGCTTACTCGCGGCGCTACTAAAATGACCCTAGCGCAGCTCTGACACGAGTAACGCGTGGAGGAGCCCTTGTTCTGTCGTGGTTACGTGCCGACGGCGTGTAAGCTCACGCTATATTGTTGCCGATATTAGCCTTGTCCCGGCGGTGGGCCACGCCTACCCTTTTGCGCTGCTGAGAAGGGAGAAAGGCCGAATGAAAACCAGAAACCAGCTGAAACGAATTGTTCTAGACCCTGTAACTTTCTTGTTAGAGCCCTTGTTCGCAATGTTTCTTCGACAGTGTATTTACCTCGAATAAGTGCGCAGTCATCGTTTTGCCTCGCATTTTGCTCTGCGAGATTGTTTACTGACCCTTTATAGCAAACTCTTCGATGGCTACTCTTAGCGTGTGTTTTCCGCAACTGTAGATCACACATCGTGATAAAATACCGTTGCGTATTGCGTGCCCGTACAAGAACGCCAATATATATATATATATATATATATATATATATATATATATATATATATATATATATAAGGGAAAGAAGTGTACACCTAAGGGCTCGTTTTTCCGTGTTTTAACACAATATTAATGTGATCTAACAGACAGTAATGCCAAGTAATGTACAGGGGAAGTTATTAGAACCAATGGAATGTAAATAAGAAGAAAGAAAAGTGAATGAAAAAATAACCAGCCGTGAGCAGAAATCGAACCTACGACCTTGGAATAACGCGTTCGATGCTCTAACCACTGAGCTACCACAGCGGCCTTCCCTCCATCCACTTTTTTGGGCTTATATGTGAATTTAGAAGTAGGAGTGACAGTCAGCGCCACCTATAAGCCAAGCGACGAGTGTGAAAACACTCTTTTATGCGCGTGTTTGGCGTGACGCCAAACATGCGCATCAAAGCAGTTCTAATAAGTTTCCCTGTACATTACTTGGCATTACTGTCTGTTAGATCTCATATACATATATATATATATATATATATATATATATATATATATATATATATATATATATATATATATATATATATATATACTGTAAGGCAATGTTTTGGCTGAAAGACACTTCATTTACTTGGCTGGCCCCCCACGCGTGAGCGGCCAGCCCGCACTCTTCTTAGACTGAAACGCAACGTCGAACGAATGGCTTGAGACGCGATACGTGGACAATCTCCGAACCGCCACAGCGACGATCCGAAAAAAGGTCGCTGGGAGTGACACAAAAGTTCACTGATGACAATTGTTCATTGATTGTATAGGGTACAATGAAGGCGTGACTGAAATTTATCGCACAATCCTGGAGTATGAATGGGTGTCCAAAGAAACACTTCATCCCCCGGACTGAAGGAGACGTCGCGATGAGAGCTGTCGTGGCGTTGCTTGGGGTCTTGCTGATTGGCTTCTGTATTAAGGCGAAGCCGTTGCCGAAATTTCTCGAGCCTTGTGATGAACTGCTCTGATACGGTTGCCGAGGCGTCAGTTGGAACATTTAGGAAAGCGACGTGAATGGTGAATGTCGGTGAACGGCCGTACACGAGTTAGGAAGACGAGTAGCCAGTAGTTCTTTGAACAGCGGTGTTATGGGCAAACGTCACCAAAGGCAAAATCGTATCCCAGTTGTTGTGGTTTGATGCGATGTACATCGATAGCATGTCTGTTAGTGTCCGATGAAATCTCTCTGTCAGCCCATTAGTTTGGGGGTGGTAGGCTGACGTCATCTTATGTACTGTACCACAGGTTGTGAGCAGGGTTTCGATTATGGTGGACAGGAACGTCGTGCCGCGATTCACTCAGGAGGACGCGAGGTGCCCCATGATGCAATGCAATAGTGTTGAGAAAGAAGACTGTGACGTCTGAAGCAGAACTTGTCCGTAGTGCAGCAGTCTCTGCGTACCGTGTCAGGTGATCGACAGCAGTCACAATCCAACGATTACTTGCTGGCGTGATGGGGAGAGGTGCTAGTAGGTCTATGCCAACGATGGCAAAAGGAGTCTCGGGACACTGGATGGGTTGCAGAAGGCCTGCAGGAGACGAGGTTGGTCACTTCCGCCATTGACACAGATGGCAAGATGCAACGTGCTTAGCCACAAAGGTAGAGATGTCAGGACAGAAGAAACGTTTCCTGATGCGGCTTTGTGTTTTGTGAAATCCCTAGTGGCCTACACATGGGTCGTCGTGAAAGGTTTCGAGGACTTTGTGACGTAGAGAACGCGGAAGTACTGGAACCCAGCGGTGTCCATCAGAAGTGTAAACGTAACGACGGAGCACATTGTTATCGAGCTTAAATTGCCGTAGTGGTCGGTGAAATCTAGCATTAGGAATAGGTGATATACCATTTAGGCGTTAAATAATGCTATTGCATTATGGATCATCACGCTGGCGTTTGGCGAACTTGGTGTAGCTATTTGAAGCCGGCGTGTCGATAACTGCTAGTTGTGATAATGCGAGGGGTGACGCAGTGTTTTGCCCACCAGACGAGCTATCACCAGACGTACTCGATGATGACAGTGGAAGGGGGAAGCGAGAGAGAGAATCTGCATCTTGGAGTCTTTTGCCAGACTTATATATGACGTCAAAATCGTACTCTTGTAGGCGGAGCACCCAACGATCGAGGCGACAAAGACAAGTTTTTGAGTGACGTTAGCCAGCACAAGGCGTAATAGCTCTGAAGTGGCGTCCGTAAAGATACGGTCGAAATTTTGGTATGGCCCAAACGCAGCAAGGCACTCCTGCTCAGTTATGGAGTAGTTCTGTTCAGCAGCCGTAAGAGCAGGACTAGCATACGCAATAACATTTTCCTGCGAAGTGGCATCCCGCTGTAGAAGAACAGCACCAATGCCATGACTACTCGCATTGTGTGGAGACAAGTACGTGTGTTCTCGTCGAAATGGCACAGAACAGGGTCGAATGTTAAGCATGCTTGAGGGCTTGGAAGGCACGCTCGAAGTCGTCATTCCAAGCGAAAGTTGATCTGGATGTCAGCAGCTTATGCAGTGGCGATGCGATGGCAGCAAAATGGCTGATGAAGCGGCGGAAGTAGGACGCCAGGCCTAGGAAACTCCGTTGGTGTTTCTGATTTTCTGGTCGAAGGAAGCGTATCACGGCAGCAAGCTTGTCAGGACCCGGGCGAACGCCATCTTTGATGACAAGGTGGCCCAACACCTTGATGTTTTTGTTGGCGAAATGATATTTCTTTGTGTTTAGCTGAAGTCCAGCATTAGAAATGCACGTCAAAACTTCGTCCAAACGATCAAGATGCTGACGAAAAGAAGAGGAGAAAGTGACGATGTCATCTTGATAACAGAGACATGTTTTTCATTTTAGGCCGCGTAGAATTGTGTCAATCATGCGTTTAAACGTAGCCAGAGCATCACATAAGCCGAATGGCATAACGTTGAATTCATACAGCCCGTCTGGTGTTGCAAAGGCAGTTTTTTTGTCCGCTTCGTGCATAGGTATTTACCAATAACCAGACCGTAAATCGAAGCTGGTGAAAAACTCAGCGCCTTGCAGAGAGTCAAGTGCGTCATCGACTCGTGGGATCGGGTACACGTCTTTGCACGTGATCTTATTAAGTGCTCGATAATGGACGCAGAATAGCACCGAACCATCCTTTTTTCGGACTAGCACTACAGGTGATGACCACGAGCTGGATGAAGGCTGGATAAGATCTCGTTTGAGCATATCAGCAACGTTGTTCTCGATAATTTTTCCGCTCTGCGGATGACACTCGATATGGGCGGCGGCGTACAATCGTATTGCCTTCCGTTTCAATTCGAAGTACGGCGATGGAAGTGCGACCTAAAAGCTTGTAAGTGACGTCAAATCAAGCGCTGTGTT